GGGGGGGAAGCCAAACACAAATGGGTGTGTGTGGTGCTTTCACTGGGTCCACTCAAACAGAAGCACTCCCGAGAGAAGGCACGTATGGCAAAGTCACTTTATGCGAATAAGCTGATGAAGACAGAAGACTAAACAAGTGTCACAGTGGCATGAATTGCTCTCCTGGAAGGCACTTTCATGAGCATACTGCAAAGGAACTATCACTTTTTGAATACAGATCCGTGCAGACATCTAAAAAAGCAAAGTCTGAAGTGAGAAATCTGCACCTAGGATGATACGTTTTTTCCCCTAATACAGTAGTTTCCCAACTGATTTAAACCAAACTAAAAAAAATTTTTAAAAATCTCATTTCGATCTCTCTTCCCTTGTGCCAAAACAAGCACTTACACAATAAGCTGAGCTCCTGTATAGGTCTGGAAGCTTCAGTCAAGGGATCTTAAAATCTGGAAGACCTGCATTCCTCTAAGAGCAGTTTCACTGATCCCACACAGATATTTCTTCTTTGGGATAAATGTAGGAAATCAGGGCTAATTGAAATTGTTCAGCTAGGGCAGAAACATATACTAGAAACAAGGGATCCAACTTCTGATTCTGAAGCAACAGAAGACTGTTCTCACCCAAGGAAACTCAGAAACAATAAACATCTGTGAACCTTGTTTTCAAGCAATGAAAGAAAGCAGCAGATCAAGGCTTAACTGTTTTACTGCACTGTATGATTAAATTCCACCCATGATACTTTGCAGAAGTTAAGATCATCATCTTTAGTTTTCCCCAACCTTTGCTTATGCAATGACAAAGTCCAGCTTCAAACCGAAGCATCAATTTGGTATACGCAAAGCTGCCATCCTAACAGCTACGGCTGCTAGAGGGGTTCTGATCCATCAGTTAGTGAAAGTGACAGCAAATGTTAAAATAGACAAAACTATGGAAAATAAACAAACAACAAACTATTTTCATAATGGCATGTACAAGCATTCACTTCACAACTCTGTCTGGAAGTAGGCCTTGCACAGTGACGGGTCTGACCAAGAGGCACTCGTATCATGCCTATTTCTACCCTCGCGCGAATGTCCCTTGCTATATCTCAGTTTTGTCACATTAGCTGTAGTATCAAGCAGCACACTTTCAACTGTTAGTTTGTTCTGGAAGTCAGTAACTTTTCATACAGAAAACCAGTCGCAAAGTTTTTCTTTAATTTAATCGAATATGGCTGATTATAAAACCACATACAGATCATCTATAGAGGAACAAATACCATTATCTTAAAACAGCTAACAGACCTATCTTTGCACCTGTTGCTTTGCAAAACTGTACTGTTTCTCCCTCCCTTTTTATTACAAGTCACATCTTAACCTCTTCTTTCTGTACTCAGAAGGCTGGAGCATGATAGGTCCAACAGAAGAAACTACTTGGATCTAAAATTCAAGCTTCACAGTTCTGTTGATGCAGTGATAGAATAGGTGCATTTCAATTTATCCAACAGTATTATACATTGCCTTCTGTGTTGAAAACTGTGGCACACAGCTTTATCCTCTGAACACGTATAAAGAATGCCAGTAAAGAGGTGTTTTAGATGAAAGAACTGGAAAAGAAAAAAAAAAAACCATACAAAAAAAAAAAAGCATGGCTTCAGGCAGAAATGTGTTACAGCTGAGTCCTGGCTTATAAACAGAGGAACAAAATAAGGTAGATGTACATCCAACAGCTTTGTCTCTCACTGAGCCGGAGTTACAGGACAACTACAAACCAAAGCATACTTAAACACACTGCAAACCTCTCCCACTTCAATCTGCTTTTTCTTCTTCACTGCATTACATGATGAAAATAACAAGCCAAGTAAACTGCCATTGATCAGACCTTGAAATACACATTTATACTGTCAAGCAGAGCTGCTTTAATGCAGAGAACAGATGGAGAGTAATTTTTTTATACAAATTAAAAAAAAAACCCACATAAAACCCCAGTGGCTGCATATATGACTTTAAAGTACGTATTAGTATTACAGACTTGTCTTCTCACCCACCATTTCCCAAAAGACGGGCCACTAAACTAGTAAGACTGCGTCTCCAACGCTAAAGCATTTGTAACGAATGAGCCAAGTC